CGATCTGATTCGCGCTTACGACCAGATTCCAGTCGCTGAGGAAGACATACCGAAGACTGCCGTAATCACACCGTTTGGGCTCTTCGAATTTTTGCGTATGCCCATCCGTCTTCGCAATGCAGCCCAGACTTTTCAATGATTCAGGCACTAGAGGTTTAGATTTCATCTATCCATACATCGACGACATGCTAGTTGCAAGGAGTGCTAAAGAACAACACGTAGAACATCACGAAATTCTTGTCGATAGGTTGGCCACTAACAACATCACTGTCAATGCTGACAAATGCATAGTTCAGCAGCCTTCCGTCGAATTCCTTGGCCATCATATTGATCAGTATGGCATACGGCCACTAGACGATGGAGTTCACGCTATCAGAGACTTTCCGTTCGCTACTACGTTAGCCGCTATTTGCCGTTTCAACGGCATGCTCAACTATTATGGACGTTTTCTTCTACACTGGACTAATTTCCTAAGTGCACTAACCTTCCCTACTTCGTGAACGCAAAAACGGTCAGGTGGAACTGACTGCTGCTACTGCCGAAGCGTTCAAGGCTAGCAAAGTGGCCTCAGCCAAAGTCGTTATGCCTCACAATTTCGATCCGAACGCTCCGCTCAGTGTTGCTGTTGACGTATCGGACACCGTTGTCCTACAGCTACATACAGATGGATGCCAAACCTCTAGCTTTCTACTCTAGACGCCTACAACCTGCTGAAGTCAAGTACAGCAGGTTTACTCGCGAACCGCTGGACGGTTACTCTACCCTTCGACATTTCCGACACGTCTTGAAGGTAACACTTTCATTATCATCACCGATCACAAGCCACTGATCTACGCATTCCGAAATCAATCAGCTCGACACTCACCAAGTGAGATTCGTCAGCTGGATTTCAGTGTCCGATTCTCGACTGATATGCGACACATTTCTGGTCAACAAAACGTCGTCGCTGATGCTCTTTGAAAAGTATCTGCGATCGGCCCTGCCGAGCAGGCAAACGATTTGTTTGCTATGGCAGCCGCGTAATCAAAGGACCAGAGTGATTCGGAACTCGGTGATTTGTCTTTGAAGATATACCCACAAGCTTTTTCGTCAGCTGATGGTACAATTTTATGCGACACATCTACCGGAGGACCTCGACCTGTCGTTCCACAAACCTTTCGCCGTACCGTCTTCGAGCTACTTTGGAAGTGCCGTCTCGACTGACCAGCAGATACACAGTAAGCTTCGTATGCGCGTACCAAAGGCAGCGGCGGCATCCGGGAAGCTTGGGTACCGCATGTGAAACAACCACCAGTTTACCGTTGCTACGAAGCCGATGATCTACAAATTCATGGTGCTTTCCATTCTTCTATACGGCAGCGAAACGTGGACGATGTACCGGCGAGACGTGATAACTCGAGCGGTTTCATCAACAGTGTTTGCGACGGATTCTGCACATCGGTCGTTGAGACACAGTTGCAGCCACGGAAATGTTGCGCCGAAGTGGAATGTATGTAGTGGACAGTATACTTTTGCTGAAACACCTGAGGTGGCTCGGTCATGGATGTCGTATGGATTCGACGCGGATACCGAAGCAGCTATTATATGGTCAGCAGAGGGTGGGGGAGCGTCATGTGGGGAAACCGAAGCGTCATTATCAGGACATGATCTAGGTGAGCCTATTAAGTAATAATTAGATTGCAGGTGTTGGGAATAGAAGGCGGTTGATCGGCGTGCATGGCGCGATTTGATCAAGAAGGCAGCCGCGTAGGTGCAGGAGAACGTCCTCGTGCATGCGGAGAAATGGTAGCTGCCATAGCGATAGGAGTGTACTCAATCAAAGTCGAGCGCGTGGTGCTGTAGCACATGCGGTCACGAGTACCTGAGTCAGGTAAGTCTAGTGAGACACGAGCGAGGCCACTGAAAACCAATATCCAAACGAGAAAGGGACCTGTTGAGAACGTAATCAGAAACGGCGTAACGCTGTTAAGTACGCTGCATGAGCTTGCATTCATTTTAGAAACCACATTCTTGGGCATTGAGATACTGTAGTTTAGTTGATTGGTTTGCTAGATTGTCTAGAAGCTTATTTTGGCACCTCACTACAATGTCCAACCAAATAATATAGTAACGAGCACATGTCGCATAAACGAAAAGTGATAAAGTTTAAAGTCGGAATTCGTTTATTATTTCTCTATTTCGTATCTTACTTTATCTCACGTTCTGCCATCTTGAATTTATTGCGGATATGTTGATAACCCATTTAGTATATGTGCTAATTTAGCCAAAAGTAGTGTAGGCGTATCCATATGGCGTTTCCGATCGATTTCAATTGATATCATCGTTTCAAGTTATTGGATATTGACAAGGTGCCTACCTGTCTATCACCCACTACCTCGTTCATACCGGCTCCAGGAGACAGTTGGTCGTTGCTGGAGAGGTCCGGGTGCACGGTCCTTGTGGTCGTGCTAGGCTCGAAGAGTGATTCCATGCACTCAGTGTGGAACGGACTACGGTCCAGCCACCGCCTTGTGTGTGCGCTTGATTCCCAAATACAGCGTGCTTGCGTTTGCCTGTGAAGGAGTGTGGGCCGGCTCCGTTGATGAAACGTGTCTCCCATCCACATACTTCCCGGTCTTGTTCCTTCGGGTTTACAATGGATATGGAGTGTGTGATTGGAGCTGTGGATGGTGCAGCGCAAGCCACCCATGGTCCCTTTGTAGGCGCAGGCGTCCTGGGGCCGACCACAGTGACAGGCAAATTCGAAACCGTGATGCTGCCAACCATATATATATATATATATATATATATATATATATATATATATATATATATATATATATATATATATACATATATATATATGAAATTTATTATAATGTAGCCCATTTGAGAGCTAAGCTGCGTTTGTGAAGGACGACACCAAGTGGTAGAACGCCTCCTGGAGTGCCTGAAGCTTGTGCCTGAGAGAAATAGATCGTTGTCTTCATACAAAGTGAGAAGCTCGGTTATATTATCCAAACGATTCTCACTTAGTTCGTAATGACAACTCGTGCCTTGAAGTCTCCTGCAAGGATAATGATGTCCGATTTGCCGCCTTTAGGTAACAACTGATGAAGTTGGTAAGAAAAGTCTTCTACGATTGATTCACAGCTACAATCGGTTGGCGCATAAGTGAAGACCGCAAAAAGGTAGTGACTTTTAGCACGATGCTTGTGGACCTTGTCTTGGAGCCGAAATGCACAGTCTGCTGTTAACCGGAAACCAATCCTGGAGTGCGGCTTCGGTTTTGCTGCTTAATACCAAGCCAACGCCAACCAAACCAGCACCCGACGCTTCCACGTTGCCAGTCAAAGGTAGGTTGTATTTGGCTTCTTGGTTGGTCGGAGCTGTCAACTTTTACAGTGCTTGGGTCTTGAAACCGTGTTTCAGTAGGGTAGTCGATATCAATAGCTCAAATGCTAGAACATAGAGTACGTGCCAAACCCGCTTGTTGTGTCAGAACATTAAAAGTTGCCAGCCGAAAGGAAGATCGAGGTCGAAGGACAGACTCGGGCTAAAAGTTCTGCGCTGTGAGGAAAAAGGCATTTGTGTTAAATTGTGAGTAACACAGCCGTGGTTGATGTGTGATGGAGTCTGGTGGGAAGTGACAGGACAGAAACGAGTGAGTGCAGCGAAGCAGTAGTGTAATCCATGGCTTTTGCAGAAGGCGCGATACTACTCGGTTGCCTAAACCAAATTAGAAACTTGACTTAGAGAACCACACTCCGAGCCTTTGGCTCAAAAGTATACCCACAAGGCAGCAGGAGGAATTAAGGGAATCGCACTCATTGGGAGCCGGTGATCGATCCTTCGGTACATACGCCGAATAGCCGACGAACGGTCAATCTAAGGATTCAAAAAGTTAGGTGCAGGGCCCGAAAATTAGACAAGGGATGGTAGGCCTGAATGTAAAAAAAAACATCCCTTATCCAAAGTAGGTGGTGCAATCAAACAAGCTGTTTGGATCAGAAAAGTAGCGAAGGGGCGGAGGCGGTCCGCCCCAGGTGGCATGTGACAGGCGGCGGCATTTTAGTGCGGTTGATTGATCTACAACATATATAAATGGCAAAATTTCCAGATGAGCTGAGGGTTGAATATTTTAATGGAATTCTGTTTGACCAACAACATATTTGTGCATACGTTCTTCCCAGTTGAGCCCCCTACTTGTCCCATTGTGGTCACTTTCAGCACATTTACCTCAGTGTCCCAAACAATCATGCATTTCAACGAAAACTAAACTAAAGTGATGCTCGCAATTTAGGGGGTTTACGGATTTAAAACTGCCAGGAGTGAGGGCGAAAATTGTACCGCCGCGCAAGGCGGCAAAACAAGTTGCTACGCCACTGGTTTGGATACCTGTTTTATTAAATCCGTGGAACTTCAGCAATGCTGCAGTAGACAAATGATGAACTTATGCACTGAGTGCACCGAAGCGTTGTACTACACATGCTTGATCGATAATCAGATGTCGTGAAGATTCCATGAATGAAGCAGGGTAAAGCTCTAAAGGTCTTACGGAGGCGAACGGTGATCACGGTGATCTAAATGCCAGAACTAATACAATTGCTTGTTTGTAGTGGACGCCCGGTGCTGGCGACAGTACTGCAGCTGCACAAGTCGAAGCTGAAACGAACTCGTTAGGAAGCGGGTGTCACTTGATGTAATAGGAAAAGAGTCGTGGCAATAAATAGAATAATAACCAGGATATTCGCAAAGCCAACAACAAGTTTAATAAGCCCAAGCGCTAGAGAAGGGCTGTGATTCAGCAGAATCGTCGTTCAGACAGGCAACAAATATGTGTAGTGGTAAGTGAATTTGCACAGTGCTCAAGCGGTGTATATAAAAGCAACTTGAGTGAGCTCCATTATATTGAGGCTTGGTGCTAACAGCTTGAGCAGTTTACCAACGTTAATGTTTCAAACGAGCAATGAACTTGAGCCAGTGCTCACGTAGGGAGAGAAAAATGAGCAGAGCCTTACCCTTTTGTAAATAAATAGGAACGAATCCAGTCGGCGGTAAACTATAAGCAATGTTCGGTTCCTCCGTAGGTACCGAAGGTTGCATTGAAGTGATCGTAGCGCAATGCTTAGCTTCGGCAGGAAAAGTGCTCAGCACTGACGAATCAACTCCAGGGGTAGGGTTTGTGAGAACCGTGTTTGGAGAGCGTCTTGGTGGGGGTGGTGGAGCAGGCCTGTCCTGACGGATGCCTGTCCGAACTTCACCTCCAACCGATGCGTTACTCCTGAGTACATTCTTAGCTGAAGAAAACAGGTTCCGCTCACTTTCTTCTGTGAGCTTTTTTAACCGGGCCGTGAGCGGTAGAACCTCCAGGGTAAATTCATTTTGCCTGAGCGCAGCTTGAAACAAGTCACGCCCCCTTAGGGAGTGAAGCAATAAGAACAGCGTAGTTGGTTATTAAGGCGGGACCAGTTGTTAGAAACTCTTGAACTGTCACCAAAATGCTACATAAGAAAGTAGACAGTCAACCTAGTGTAGGGTACAACGGGTAATTCTGCTGGTTAAAAGGGCATTCCCCCTTTTCAAGTCAATACAAAATAAGCTTTATATACCTGAATAGGGGCATTAGAAGCGTTTACACTATTACTGTGGATACACTGAGTGAATGGGACCAGTTAAAAATATATAAACAGATTGAAAAATTAAATAGTCAAAGGTATGTGGATTTCATTCAAGAAATCGCATGCGCAAAGCATTTGTGGATTTCATAGGGTCGGCAAGAAAGTGCGACAAATAAGGCAGGATTGTGTTACGATACGAAGAAGTGCGAGAGAATAAAATCCTAAATTTTGTTAATGAGTGTGAGAGACAGATAACGTTTGTGAGAGCATCATGTAGCGGATGAGAGTGGTCACTTAGGACCTGAGAAGAAAAATTTATGCGAACGTCGAAATGATTAGAAGCAATAAAAGCAAATATGGAGTCTAGACAAGCCACCACATCTGAACATATGTTTAATCGATCGCACAATCAAAACATAACCCCTCTGCAGATTACTGGTGAAGACTACAACCGGTGGGATAGTATACACGTAGTTACAAATCTCAAAAATTAAAGTTTGCAATACGGAGAACTTCTTAAGTCGGAAAGCATAAAAAGATAACCTACTGTGAAAGGTCTCTAAAACGTACATGGACCAAGTAAGGTTTTGTGAAAAATTGACATCGAGAGGTTTGACTGGATGGAATAGGAATGATTTTATCCTCCAAAGTTAATAGAGAAGAGGGATATAAAATTACTAGTAATTTATCAGGGCGGATAAATGAAAATGTTACAGCGGTACATTTCCAAGCATTAAGGTTAAGCGACCTGGTTGAAGAAGAACTTACAAGTTCGTCTAAACCACATTGAAGCGTGGACGTCTCAATGGTGGGAGATCTGCACCCCAAGACCACATCGTCAGCATATTTACATCTAATGAATGTTGATGGTATGAGGAGACTTTCGATTTATAAAGAGAATAATAGGGGTGAGAGGATCGTGACCTGTAAAAAAACACCACAGAAAACGCGGAGCATAGAGTAGCTATTACCGTTTAACTGGGTAAATTGCATGCGATCAGTAAAATAGTCACGCAACCAGTTACAATTATCAAAGTGGACAACGGTCAAATAAAGTAGCTAAAGCAGAACGGATCGATCAAGACTCCCAAACGCATTTAAATGGTCAAGAAAAAGAAGGCGTGCGGACCTGCACTTCATAGTTAGCGCAGAGGCTATTGAATGCGGAAGGTACGAGACAGCACCAAGCACTGGGGTCTAAACGCAAACTTGTAGACAACATCAGGGGCTGTGGAAATTCGTGGAACTAGTAGCTTTTCGAGGAATTTTAAGAGCACGGAAGTACAAGCAATAGGCCGATACTCGTAAGGGTCCTTTATAGGAATTGGCGTTATTCTGGCTGACCTCCAGATGTCGGGGATGGCACTGGTCATGAGACACTAGTTAAAAATATCAGCCAGGGGTAAGGGAACCGGCGCACTGCTTCAAAATCACGGGTAATAAGCCATCAGGGCCAATAACTTTATTTGTAGTTAACTTCTTGAGTTCTCTGTTGACATCAAGTGGATCAAATAAGGCGGTTGGACATGAACTAGTGAATAATGGTAATGGAAAAGCGCTCGACGGAGAGGAACTAAGCGCAGAATTGAGTTTGTCAACATCCACAATTCCGGCACCTCCGATGGTACTTTTACCACAGATTTGCTTTAGAAACCTGCAGAGTTCCCGATAGTTACGGTTTCCCAGTACCGTTACAATGTATAAACTGTTTAGTCTTGCTATTTCAACTTTAATTGCTAAAGTCAGGCTTTTGACTCGGGTGATCATTTTGAGCTTGTAAGCACGTCCTTCTTTTCCTCGAAGTTGTTTCAGCAGGGGTAAAGAAAATCTATCTCCTCGCAGGAAGATGGTCTCGATAGGGCAGTATAGGTGGAAGCAAAATTTTAGGTAACTCATGAGATGATCCCATTGAAGCCATAGATCTTCATTTGTAAAGACTGAAAAATCGGTTGAAAAAAGCGTTTCTTGAAGTCGTGCGACATTTCCTTCCGAGCAAGTGCGCCGTTGGATAGTCATGAATTTTCGTTTTGTCAATGCGGCATAGTTAGTTTTGCTGTAGATGATAGGGCAAATCTTTAGCATACAATGGTCCGAGTTGCTTAGTAATACACACTTTTGAGTGGAAAACCAACAAATTTTGTTTGTGTAAGCAACATCAAGCTGTGCGTCTAGTACAGTCGGGAAAGTTACTAAAGTTGCACTAGCAAGTGAGTTGAAGAATGTTGTATCGCATTTATTAGTCACGGGGGACAATGCAGAGAGAGCATTCTGGTTTCGGCAGCAATACCAAACAAAGTTGCTCAACTAAAAGCTGCAGTTCGGATGATGATGATGTATCAAGGGCAATGTAGAAGTTTCACATAACAACGGTTTGAAAACCACTGAGAAACTTAAGCTTGGATTCAAGTAAATGGCAGTTAATAGAACTTGTAGAGTGAGTGAATAGGTGATTGACTGAGTTGCACCAGAGTTGGTTAACGTACGTGATGACGCCGTCAACAGGATTCGTTGGCTTACCTGGGCGGTCGGACCTAATAGCACAGTATCCACTGATGCTAATGACTTCATCCTCAATATCAAAGTACATCCAGCTTTTTTGTAACGTAATAATACCTGTGTTTATACATTCCTTTCGTTGTACAAGAGCTGTGAGGTAAGTGATTTTTCCAAGCAATGAGCACCCGTTGCTGGAGAGGATGAGTGGTAATTACATTTTCTACACAGGGCATCGTCGGAGACAAACTTTCTAACCAGCGCGATGTTTCCTCATGTGGCCCTTATGTTGTCTCACAATCCGTTTAATAGTGTTCATGGCTTTATGCCCGGAGTAGACAAAAGGCATTTCGCATGCCGCACTTCGAAATGATTGCAAAAAATCGGTGGAGTAAGATAATATTGGTAACTAGGATATGATTCAGTTAAATAGAATAGACAAAATGAAACAGTTATAGATCCACAGTAGATAGTGTAAAATAAACGATGTTCCAAGAGGCAACAGCAATGGCCAATTGGAAGGCCCCACACATTCACGAAAAAATCGAGTTCCAGATATGAAATGTCAAACTTACTAATTAATATGGCTCAATATAATAAAGATCCATGATATAAGGTGCAATATAGGGTTAAGATTACGGAGCCATCTGGTGAGCGATGGCTCCTGCAAAAGTAATCAGTGGTGAGAGAAACAGATGCCTGCAGTTGCCATGAAAAACTGATCGATGATGTAACATCAGCTTCTGTTCGAAGTATATATATATATATATATATATATATATATATATATATATATATATATATATATGTATATACCCCATGCTAAGGCTGATGTTGCATTCTTGATGCTTCTTCACCGCAATTGGGCTAAACCAACTTACATTTAAACTAGGTCTCTTTAAGCTGCATAAATTTCATTCCAGTTTATTTGGTTTGTTTCGCCTATCTGGATAGTCTTCTATTAGCTGGCCACGTTGTTTACGCTAATTGCGCTTATCTTCGGTAATTTTGTTGTGTTTGTAGCATTTTTGAGTAGCTTGTGGACATCCTTTTTCCTTATCGCGGATTCATTGCTAACCAAATTGCTTCATATGCTAATTTGGCGAAGAGTTATGCCACCGTATCTATATACATTATTGGATTTATTTCATTTCATTTTGTCGTTTCAAGTGATTGGCTGTTGCTTGATATCCCCGATATGGCTGCGCTTGATGTGTATGTTGACAAGGTGCCTACCTGTCTATTACCCACTACCTCGTTCATACTGGCTCCAGGAGACTGTTGGTCGTTGCTGGAGGGGACGGAGTGCACGGTTGTTGTGGCCGTGCAAGGCTCGAAGAGTGGTTCCGTGTAATCAGTGTGGAGCGGACTACGGTCCAGCCACCGCATTGTGTGTGCGCTTGATTCCCAAGTACAGCGTGCTTGTGTTTACCTGTGAAGGAGTGTGGACCGGCTCCGTTGATGAAACGTGGCTCCCATCCACATGCCTCCCGGTCTTATTCCTTCGGGTTAACACTGGATATGGAGCTGAGGGTGGTGCAGCGCAAGCCACCCATGGTCCCTCTGTAGGCGCAGGCTTCCTGTGGCTGGCCACAGTGACAGGCGAATCCGAAACCGGATGCCGCCAACCATATATAACACCGTCTGTGGTACAGATATTGTGCCATCGGATTCATTGCTGAATAGAAAAACTATTAATAATAATAAAATAACAACAAAAAAAGCTTTTTAGTTCAGTTTTCCACTCAGTTTTTGAAATTTTTAGGGGGATGAAGGAGGGACACCGCAACACACCGATGCACACGTCCGTCACTGTCATTGATCTTGAGTCATGACTTCCAACGTCTTCAAGCAGCAAGTATCCGCATCTCTCGGACCCTAGCAAGGTAGTCGACAACAACCGGCCGAGGCCAACTGTTTTGTCAGTATTTCCATGCGGCTTCTCCACAATGAAGTCTGTCCACCAGACCATCTCTTCCAGCCCGGTTTAGCAACCGCAAACAACGCACGACGGGGGTAACGCTGAACAGACATGCGCAATACGTGTCCCAGCCACCGTGATTGATGCAGCGAGACGAGCTCCTCGAGCGAGTGGCTTTCTCGTCCTAAGATACGCTGTCTAACTTCCACATTGCTTACGTGGTGTCGCTACCACACATGGGCAATGGACCGTAGAGAGCGGTGCTCGAAGACGGATAGCCTGCGCATCTCATTTTTACGAATGGGCCAGTTCTCGCATCCGTACAACAGTACAGCACGAACAGTTGCACAATAGACCCGCCCTTTGATGGAGAGACGAATGTCATGGCGACGACACAAGTGTCTTAACCTAGAGAAAGTGAGGCGTGCTCGCGAGATGCGCATCGGAATCTCGTCTCAAACAGCTCCGCCAGCAGCGATGCAACTTCCCAAGTAGAAAAAGCTCTCCACAACCCCGTGTCTCACTAGAGTGCACTAAAGTGCAGGCACAGCCACGTGCCAGTCTTAAAAGAGAGACTTGCATCTGGATGGCGAAAAGTAAATACCATACTTTGACACTTCAATCACCAAGCGGTTTACTGCAAGTTGGACGGCGTGTGGATTGTCACCCAGCAAGACGATATCATCAACATAATCCAAATCAACAACTCGACTACCTGGGAGGAGCTCAACAGCAGTGTTCAACGAATCGCCCAGAGCGTTCTTTAGAACATCCTCAAGGGCAAAGTTGAATAGGAACGGAGAGATAGGGCATCCATGTTGAATACCACTGTAGACCACCAAGGAAGGCGAAAGTTTGCCACAAGCCCTAACCCTGCCCGAGATCAGACAATAGAGAGCGCACAGTATGGAGACGAACTTCTCCGGGGCGCCATTCCTCAGTAGACAGGGCCACAGTACCGCCCGATCATCAGGATCGAAGGATGTGTGGATATCCAAGAACACAGCAATCGATGGCCTCTGATACACATGGCGGAACTGCAGGATCTGGCGGAGTGTGAAGATTTGATCGATGCAGCCGCGACGAGGGCGAAACCCAGCTTGTTCTTCTCGCTGCAACGATTCGCGCAATGGGGATAGTCTGCGAAGTATGATGGACAGTAGCAGCTTGCAAACGACGGGGACTAAGCTTATACCTCTGTAGTTACAGCAAAGTGTGCGCAGGCAATTTTTGAAGATAGGGACGACTATCGATTCACACCAAGATGATGAAACTTCCTCTTTCGAACAAACTTTCGAGAACAAAGCAATGAGTTCTGGAACTAGCAAGGCGCCACCATCTTTAAATAGAGCTGGAGGAAGAGCATGAGAGCCAGAGGCTTTAAAAGCTTCATGTGATGGAGTCCCTGCTCGATTTCCTGGTAGGAGGGAGGATCTGTGGGAGTAGACCCCTCGGTGCCAGTGCGAGCACCAGAGGTAGCATTTGGAGCTGGGAGCCAACAAAACTGAAAGCCAAAATGTTCGGCCCATACCTCCAACCGTCGTTGAAGGTTGATGATTAAGGTGCCATCCTCTTCGCATATTGTTTCGCTTATACCAGATCGAACAATTTCGGTGACTCGAATGAGGTGGAAAAGTTTTCTGTCATCACCAGAAACACTAGCAAGCTCCATCTCTCTAGCACGTTCACACCACTAAGCTTCGCGGCCCATTTGCAGACTCCTGCGCAACTCTCGACCCAGGGATTAGCGTTCTTTACTGTGTCTGGAATCCGAACTGATCAAGCGCTGTTGTTCGAGACATAACAAAAGTATGCAAATAGATGAAGCAGTGACGCTGTGGCAACAGTTCGCTCATTATGAAGTTCGACTAGATGACCTGTACATCGACAAAAGAAAGATTGTGGTAGTGATTTACGTGCAACAGGCGGTAAAATTAGGTGCTTTGATGAATGCACAGGTCGGAGAGTAGCGATGCGGAAGTCTGGATACAAACTGAACAGCCGAGTCTCAACTCCTAGTAGGTGTACGCATGTAAGCTATCCCCGAGACTGGGAGATCGAAATGGTGTTTGCGGAAATATTGCTTCGAGCTGGGATAGTAGAGCACATCAAGTGACCGACGGGTATATCACTGCGCTGAGGTGTTTTCCACCTCTAGCTAACGTGTACAATAATGTAAAGATGCACTCAGTTTCGTGAAGCCCAAAAGTGATGTTGACGAACTCCGGACAACCGGCACAAGATATTTGGACCCTGGAGTGCCTGGACGGCATTGGTGGTAGGCCGGTGCTCGTACCGAAGCTTCGTTGCCATGCGACTGCTAACGATCGAGTAAGGATAAGAATATTGCACAGTATCGAACTAGAGAAAGGTGAATTGCAAGTCAGACGTTAGAAATCCTCCGCCGCCGGTCAAAGGAATTCCTGGCAGAGGCGCTTGATGCTCATAGTTGCTAGGGGCGTTGTCGTTGCTTCATGACAATCCGCTGGAGCCAAAGTAAAATCACTATAAAAGTGACCTCCACGGCTCAGCTAGCGCTATGAGGCAAGTGATCTGGTCGTTGTCGTAGATTGTATCTGTCGAGCCTTCTCGGTCAGCCATAAAGGAAATAAATTCGCTGCGTGCTCAGAAAAGCACTGGATTGCTGTTTCATTCGTTCGGGAATCACCAGTTGTGTGTATCAAACCGGTCCCCGTGGGGCTAGAATCCGTCACCCCATTCTATCGAATCTGCGGTAAAGAATATCGAGCGACAGGAGACTGTAGAAATCGATATGAACAAGTTGTCAGAGATGAGGTAGCGCGGTTCACTCTTTACTAACTTGCTCGTCACTGCCGTCCAAAAAAACAGAGCATCTTTCTACTAGCGACGCATTTTCAAACTTGACGTCTATTAACTTACGTCACCATAAGCAGGTACGTAAGAATTGCATGGTTTAAGCCGAGAAGCGCGTTTGTCTTTTGCCCGATGCGGGATGATCTTCTGACGGTGAGTGGTTGAGATGAAGACCCAATGAGAAGTGACTGATTAACGCTTTCGATCGAACCTCGATGAGGGGGTACATGTTTTGGTACTCCTTACTCCAAAACATACAACAACCAACTGTGATGAGGTAGCCGATTAGATTAAGCACTATGACTTCCAGGAATAAAGCAAGTAGCCAAAAAATAACACAAATTTCACATTGATAACACATTTGTAAGGTGTATTCTTTCGTCTGGCTAATTACGATTATGGAAAGATCATGGACGTCCGATGGGAAAGAATGAAAGATGAGATACCAAATTATCAAAACAGCGGTCGAAAGATTAATTTCAGGGTGTAACTGAAAGGTCCAATGGTGTCAGGACGCAAGTACCAAACTAACTAACTGACTAACTTTTCAAATGGAACTCCAATGAGAGAAACACCATTGATGCCGAGTATGTGATCGCCGACAGATAAGCAGCGTTCTCGAGCAACACGACCGTTGGGTAGTACGTTATGCACTTCAAGACCTGATTCGCTGAAAATAAAACATTTAAGAGTACAGCAGTAACTAAAGATGATGCATATTGTCAAGCGGAACGCTACGGCAGATTGAGGAAAAAAGGTAAAGACCACTATAGTGCCGTCTGATCCGATAAATAATTAACTCATTAAGGTGCATTAAATTAAAAAACAAAAAACACTCGTTTTCGTGAGGATAAGATTGCCGAAGGTCCCACAAAACATGGAGCGGGAGGTTAGGAAGTGTTTAGGTTGCGATGCTTCGAATGATGAAGAAATCAAAGGTGCGGAAATAACAGGTTGTCGAAACAACCAACAGAAAGAATGCTTGTACGAGACGATAAGGATGGCCCGTGAAAGAGATTGACAGACTTTGTGAGTTGCAAGCTCAAACACAGAACCGGGCAAGTGAACAGCGGGTTAAGAAGATCCAAAACTTAGACGCTAGCCTGCGACCAGTCGCTTCCGAAAGACAGATGCAAGCTAGGCGGTTTATTCTGCGTTGTTACAGTTGTAGAGCAGCTGTTTGAGAAGCCGAATGGTGAAGAGTCGAGCATTACGACCTTTCAAGTGAAAGTTACCTCCGAGAAGCTGTTCTTCCACGCACCGGCAAATGTTGACTGAATTCAGTACGTTGCAAGGTTATCTGTGGTTTCAGAACACAATGCGAAAGCAATCGTGTAAAAAAATATTATCGGCAAGTTAATCAGTCTGAGTTAGGTGGGTAATTAGGATCTTCATTCTAGTAGCAGCCTGCGCCCGATAACCTGACATTAGACAGTTCGGCATAATTTTCAAACTCCAAACAACCAGATAGGTAGGAGGAAAGCAAAGAAGGTCGAATGGTGTGTCGAATAGAGCATGTGGTAATGCATCAGGTTTCGCTGAAACCAAGCTATAGTTGTCCTAGATCTTCAAGCAGGGTCAAATCGAAGATCCATCATAATTTAATGATGTTTGAAAAACAGCCGCAATAGTTGACAGTCTAAGTGCAACATACTAGTAAGCCGCGCATGACAAATGAAGAAGCAGAAATTTATCATTGGTAAAATAAGAAGTGTTAATATAACAAAACATTGCCTTGGCAACTATGACGCAAGAAAAATTGATCAAATAACTCTGTTCTCTCGATTCAATCTGGTAAATAACCACATCAGTGTTAGCGGCTATCCAACTTTAACGCATGTTCAAATCTACATGGATTTGCCCCACAAACCATTGGGTTCCTTTTAAACACTGAAAACCCGTCTCTACTTCCTTCTAGTTGCGCAGGAGAAATCATGCAGGGCTTCCCAGTTGCGACTGAATATGGGAAGTGTATATGGATGCTCAAGTGATAGCCAATTTGCAGACCGATTTTAGTAGTTATCACTGAAACTATATGCTGGTTTGATAACTCCGTTTCAGCATTACTGCTTCATTCCCATGATGTTTTCGGCAATCCATCATCTGACCTGACCGAAATGAGGGATGATACATCGTCCATTTGGAGGAAGAATCCAACAAAAAAGACGACGGAGGGTAGTGGTGGCAAGCACACAAATTCCTTATCTGTGCATGCATTGGGCATCTAATGGCGACAAGGGAAAGAAAGTTGCAACTCCCTAAAACTACAGCCGCAAATTCATTCGTGATGTCACTGTGGCATCCAGTGGGCAAGCTGATCACCAGTTTAAGAAATCTTTATCTTCTTCTGTCAGCACACTTTAGGTTACTTTGTAAAGTATCAATTTAATTGTTTACCGCTGCAGTATGAATACCTCAGGCACTGGCCTGGATTGGCTCTCAAATGCGAATGTGTCACGAAATGTCCGAAACTAGTGATTTAGCTGTGCGAGTGTTCCAAATGTGTTCTGAAAATAGATTTAGACGCAACAACTGCATGCCTCATGAGCTTGTGAGGGAACGTATTTAATGCGTTGGACGATTAGAGTGCTCTGTTGTGATGAAAACAAACTAGAGAAAAAAGGAAAATATGTGATGTTCAGGATGACTTGTCGCCGGAAGTGGCAACTTAACTGCGTAACCGAAAAGATGGCAACAATGTTTCAGGTAAAATGATCCGTTGGCGTTCATTCGGTTAACAGTTAGCCCTTAAATCCTTGAACTCTCGCAGTTTTAAGTGATAACGGGAAACGGACAAAACAATTGCCTTACAACAGTAAGGCTAAACTACAGAACCAACCTTCGCTAGTAGTCAAATTTCAATGCCCGAACTGTGAATTCTGCTACACTTCAGCAGAGCAGAGTAGAGTCGAAGACATCGATGGTGTAAGTAAATAAATAATTGGAACAAATGAGGAATAGTCAGCGCCATTTTCAGGGCACAATCAGTCGCTCAATATTCTATGTAGCTCCTGGATTAAGACAGCAGCACCAAGCGACGGGTCAAACAAAAATGTGATTTGATCTTTAAGTTCGATCACAGTCGATGGCTATATCAACAAACATATGCACAATAAATCTACACAATTAGGCCCGATACTTATGGCTGATATCAGGCAGACATAGCCTGGCTAAGCATCAAGACCAAATGAAAGTTTCCTCAATGTTAGTTTAATACACCTGAGATGAGGTGCAAAAGTACAACACATGAAAGGTGGACAAGAGCGACGAAGATCCAAAAAATACCATAAGTTCAGGATGCGGTTAATGTCCAAACACGCAGCAAGGAAGCTATGCGTGCCCACTATATGAAATTTCGTATTCGATTTTAATCACTAGGTAGTCTCGATGTGAGCAAGTGGAATGACACAAATCAGCGGTCAACAGTACACTCACATCTTGGCCTTTGTTGTACAGGGATTATGAAGGTCTTCCGTTGAAGTTTTGACGGAATGCACGTACACCGGCTTAATTTGTATGCCCAAGTTTTCACCGGGCCTCGTGTTCACTAGCCGGACAATAACCGTGCCTGAGGTACACAATGACCGTGAAATGGCCATGGGAATGTTCTCGGGTTGTGTATTTTCTTCCAAGTTGCGCTCTTTCGCGCTCTCATGTGAAATAGATGTGCGAACATCGGAATTGTGTGACGGAATACCACAGTCAAGGGTTGAAGTCAGAGAGGAAGATAACAAAGAGTCAGACGCTTGACTAGACTCCAAACAACTCAACGCTTTCGTAGCAGACGGGCTGGATGAGAAAGCCGTGGAACTCTGAGTAGGCTTAAAAACTTCAGCCAAATTGTCCTCCACTGTTTTATTCGAATTAAGGGAAAGTGTGTTGCGGAATCTCTCTGTTAAACCGTTGACGTTGTTACTATGCTCTGGGCGCTCCAGGCTGGAAAGAAAAAAAGAGAGATGGTTGCTTACAATGTGTCGTACGATAGATGGGGTAAATGCCATCATTCGGAAAGAGTTTGATGTGATAAATAGGGTGGGAGTAACACAATGAAAGATGTGAGAAAATAAAATAAAAAACGACCCACTCAGCAGAAATTAAAATAAAAATCAGCTACCTGCGATTACGTTCGGGAAATAAAGCAATATAGTATTTTTTTAAAACTACCAAGGATTTCCGTAGTGAGAGGTGAAGTAGTAAAAGAAAACACATAAAAGTGTTCATAACGGCCTGCAAAAAGAGCTCAATCGATACATTTCCAAAGGTTAACCTACTTACAGTTGATAACAGAAGTATACATAACGTTAATGGGAAAAACAAGAAATGGAACAAATGCGGTTCGCCTTCACCTGATAAAATAATCTGGACGAAGAAGTGGGTAGTCCTCCTCGTAATTCCCACAGCCACCATCGAGGCCATCTAAAGTGCGGGGACACGGGTCTGTGGGGCGATGGTTTCGATGCGCAGGACTTGCCGGGATACTCTGGTCATAGTCTACTGAATATTCTTCCTCTTCCTCCTCCGGAATTGTCGAGACAGTCAACGAGCAGAATAATGGTCGGCTCCCCGAGTTGGACACTGTGCTGCAGAGTGGAGAGGGTGGATCCGAGGTGACGGAAAATGTGTCTGGTGAGCTCACACTAGCTGACGAAGGACAATGGAGAAGAAAAATTGGAATAGAAGCAGTAAAAATATGCAACCGAGAACACATAGAGCAATCTACGCGTTCGTAAACCGGTAGCAAAACAAAGAAGAAAAAACCACCAAAGTTAGGGCACCACCGCACCCTCATAACACCGAAAGGAAGCAGTGGAGTGAATCAAGTAGATCAAACACGCTAACAAACTGTAAAATGTTATAAGTGTGCAATACACGAACGCAAACCGAAAAGCTGTAAAGGAAACTAAACCAGATGAAATTCACATAACTCTAGTGGATAAGTTACGCGATTTATTATTGAAACTGTGGGAGCGGGAAACTGTCCCGATTGACTGGAGCTGCTACGGTATAGTTTGGATTTTCATGGAAGATTCCCGTTCGGATCGCGGTGGTCAGAGAGGGATCAGTCTGATTTCCATTGCCTTCAAATTCCTTGCCCCTGTCATCTTGCACAGATTGACTGATTGGTGAACAAGCGGGGTTTCCTCGTAGTCGGGGATGCATTGACCGCATCTCCACTCTATGTCAATTGCTGCAGCATTGTCAAATATATTGGTGACCCATCGTAGTCGTGTTCCTCAACATCAAACGTGCCTTTGACTCGGTGGACCAATGTGCCATGTGTGACTTTCAGCTCAGGAATGATGTGCCAGAGAAATAAGTAAAGATCATCAGAGGAATTCACGTGCGGAGTTTGGGCAGGGTAAGAACTAAGGGCAAACTGACCCCGTGCTTCAATATCCCTAGCAATGTGAGACAAGGGTCCCCACTGTCATCTTTCATTTTTGACTTCGCTATTGACGAAGTTATGGAAAATTCGTTCATCGATTACGAATTGTATGGTCTAGAGTTGCTCAGCTTCTTGACTTGATGTATGCTGATGATACTGCATTAAACTGTAACAGCCCACAAACATGTCAAACAGCAGTTGGTAGGTTAGTCCTGGATGTCAGCTGTTTCACGCTTTGTTTTATACCCTCAAATCGCCTAGTTTTCTTTCAGGATTGGTGCTGAATTCTGTTATGCATACGTTCGGTGGAGCAGAGTCGGAAGTCGTTGGGAAATTCCATTACTTTAGCAACTGTATCAGCGCTTGGGGAATCAAAAATGAGATCATAGACCGCATAGCAAAAGCTTGAGGCGCCTTTGCTTAACTTCCCTTATTGCTTAGGTGCGACAGTTCTCTTACATTGAAGGATGGAATCTACTATGCGGTTGTCTGTGTACTTTTACTGTACAGTTGGAAAACGTGGTCCGTCAGATAGGAAAACGTAAAGAGATTTGTTACGTTCGACCACCGGTGCCGTCGCAACATGGCTCACATCTGGTAGGAACACTGCGTGAGCAATGAACGTGCTTAGTGCCTTGTTTCCCAGGCGCGGAGAGTAAGTGAACTGCTCATCATTATGATTTAACCCACAGGCTTAGTGGCAAGGCCATTCGTGGAAGAGTAGCCAACTGATAACAGAGTCAGGAAGAATGAAGCTTTCATTTCGAAGTTAGCCTTGATTGGAGCTTTGCAACTCCCCGGTTGGAGTTCAAAAGACGATGAACACGTTCAGGCGGGTACTGTTTCTACATGAGAAAATGCGAGCTCAGTGGTGTTTTATCGTTTCTCTATCGCCGCTCCTCTCGCTTAGCATTCCAAACCAACCATGACCTCATCCTGGGCGCATTTTTCCTACTTGTATGATTATACAATCGGACTGGACAGCGGCTCAGCAGCTGAGGAATTTCTCATGCATCTGGCTAACGTGTACAATGAGGACGATAAAAGTGAAAAAATATAACCTGCAGTCGGCGTCCACTGACATTCTACGAAAAGACAGAATTCAAAGCACAGTCAACAGTCGAAATACGTAGAGAGGAAGTAAACGAAAAACATGCCGACAAAAATGGACGCAAGGAAAAGGACGCTCAAGGTTGGTCTTTGAAATATCCGTTGTGCGCTTGAATTGCATCACTTAGTGGTCTAGTGATCAAAGAGTCAGACATCAAACATCACTTCCTGAGTTCCGCCTGGTATTGAACTGACTACTAGTTGGTTCGGCGGAGCTGTACGCCACCGGGCGCGACCCCAAGTTGCGGATCCGGGAATACCTTCCTTGTGAAGGTAACTGTGAATAAATCTCGGTTGTTCGCAGGCGAGATGAATAAGCAGTCGCGAACAGCGGTAGCTTCCTAGAGCGTGGGAGGTTCTAGTATGGTCACCTGGTCCCTCATTAGATACCACAAGAGCTCATAAGACGCTGTGTCAAAGCCAATGTGACCGGCTATAGGGTCACTGACCACTCACTTCTGCGACCAGAAGTGAGTATTCAACGGAGGGCGGATGAACTACCTCGATGGCCGCCGGCTTCTTTGAAGGCCTGTGAGCCACCTGACTGTCAACGGCTTTCATGCTCTTCGGCGAGTATGTTGGTCTAGGAAATTTCTCCTGGTCCGTGCTGCTTCATTCGGGCTTCTTGGGCAGCCTGAGCAGTTTGTTCCTGCTCGAAAGCCGTGTTGTCATCATCGTGGCAGCCGACTCCCAACGGTGCGCGGTATATGTCAATAGCCCCGTTGTCATGCGGGTTAAGTTTTTAGACTGAAGGCTCCGGGCGGTCCCCCAAGTCAACCCACTTCTTCGGCCTGGGCAGCCGGGAAGTTCCAGGCCCACACAACGACTTCATGCCCTCTCTCTCTCTCTGCTCGTTGCCAACGCTATCATCGGCCGAGGTGCTGGAGGCCAAACATGCTATATCGTGCACTACCACACCACAGTTCAGTTACTTTATTCCACGTTTGTTCACTTCCCCCATCGTTGGTAATCTTCCTCCGTTTCCGAGTTCACAACGTCGTGCCGCTTTGGGCGAGCGTTCTCGCCATACGGATCAGGAATTTAGGTCCCAGAGTATGCCACCAAGTAATACTAGCAAACGTTTTTTGGCGGCCCGTTTCCAAACCAAGCTGGCAAATTTTAACGTCCGGACGCTGATGCAAATCGGATCACAAGCAGCCCTCGCTCGCACGCCTGTGACTACTGTCATTTATGTCTGCTGCCTCACTGAAACCCGATTACAGGACCCTAGCACAAGGCTACGATTGGCTTCGCCGTTTGCGAGTTCCACTGGCATATTAAACTTGCGCTTGTCTGGAGACGAAACCGCTGAAGCCGCTGGCATTGCGGACGTAAGGATTACGTTAAGCACTTGTGCTGAGACCGCGCTACTTGACTGGATCCCTGGCAACAGTCGATTCTGCGCTATCCGACTTTAGACCTCAGTGTGACTTTCTAGTCGTGGATCCAGCAGACGTTGCTTGTACGTTATAGCAGCATACGTTGCCACAGACTGCAGCCCGGAGTCAGTTAATGACGAGTTCTAAAGTCAAATGTCCGATTTTCTCCGAAAAAAGCGCAGAACAGAGATCGTGGTGCTTGAAGAGGACTTAAACGCGCAGGTCGGTAAACTAGAAGTTGAAGAGCGTGAACTCGGTGGTCAACATGGCCATGGCACTCGCAGAACTGATAACGGTGATCACCTTCAGCTTTGTGCCGATCACGGGTTCTCCTTATCGAATACTAACTTTCGGTGATCTTAGCACCAACGCGCGATCTGGAGGCCTCCGGCACCTGGCCAGCCATGGACGCAGATTGACCACATCGCCATCAGTTATTGCTGCATACAGGATTGCAAATCAATCTGGAGTACGTACCTCACTTCAGATCACGCGCTCGTGTGTGTCAAGTTTGCTTTACGTCTTGGTGACTCTCAAAAGGATCGCCGGACACGGTTTGACGTAGCCAAAGTGTTTGCCCCAAGCGTTCAGGACTCATTGGCCTCAAATCTCAAGAACGCCTCATGCTCTGACGTAGAAACGCAGTGAGCACACCGCAGCGCCACGCACAACTGCGACCCTGGTCTGTGGTTTCACCAGTACTCCTGTCAACATCTGGATCTCTGTACGATCACTCCAATTTCTTGAAGCTCGTCGGGCAATTCCAGATGGTGTTGAGTATCATTCACTACGCAGGACCGCTAACGCTGAACTCAAACAGCTCCTCAGGGAGGGTCGCGAAGCATGTTGTTGACATGGTCGTTGATATGGAGCAGGCAAACAGCTCGGGGAATTCCCGAAAGCTTTTCCACCTGATCCGATTCACTGGCAGCAGAAGGCCGACAGTAAGCGAAGTTTTGTGTGAAACCAATGACAAGCGAGTCCACTGCCAACAATCTCGATTTGTACGTTGGGCTGAACACTTTGAGCAGTAGTTCAACTGGCCTGCAGGACCTGTGATCCCATTTTTGAGAACACGTAGTAGAGGCTTCACCACCTTGTTTGGCTGAGGTTGCTCATGAGCTTCAACTCTTAAAGCGCTACAAAGCCCGTGGCCCAGACGTACTCCAATCAGGACATTCTCAAAAATAGAGGTCCATCATTTGTTCGGAAGCTAACTTCCCTCCTGAAAAAGGTTTGGACCACTGAAGCAATCCCGTCGGATTGGAGTCGCGCAGATATCGTGCCAGTCTTCAAAAAGGGTGCCCAACGGACTGTGCTAATCACAGAGGGACTAGTCTCATCTGTGTTGCCTCTAAAGTGCTCGCCGCCCTGAGTTTAAGGAGGCTAAGCATGTTACGCGAACAAAACATAAGCAAAGAGCAAGCAGGGCTCCGCTCCGGCCGGGGTTGTATCGATCACATCATAGATCTCCGCCAAACACTCGAGCGCCGTCAAACGTTCGGCAGGCCAACGGTCGTTGTCTTCTTAGACATACGAGCCGCGTTTGACTCAGTTGAGCGAGCTGTTCTCTGGAGCTGTCTGTTTAGTAGGGAAATGCTCGAGTAGAACATCAATCACCATCGAGCCATCTATTCTTGAACCTCGGAACGAGTGCGGATGTACGGCGAACTTTCGCCGCGCTTTAGTATCACTAGTGGCGTGAAACAGGGCTGTCCTGAATCATCTTTCCGGATCAGTTTCGCTATTGATGACATCCTGGAGAG